TGCACTTCCTGTCAGTCCGGCCGGTTACAGGAAACAGAAGCTCCGCGCGGAACAGGAATTTCTGTTTCCTGTAACCGGCCGGACTGACAGGAAGTGCACACTCAGCGTGCACCTTCCTATCAGTCCGGCCGGGCACCGCGGACCAGCGAGCAGCTCGGCCACGCTACAGGGGAGGGCAAGGGAGGAGCAGCTGCAGCCGCCTGAGGCTCTTAACAGAGCGCTCAGGCGGGTGCAGCATTTAAAGGGCCGGCCCTGCAGCGGCCGGTCCCAACAGAATTTAGGGCGGCCTAGGGGGAAATTGCCTCCCTGCCCCCCGGCCCAGCCCGCCCCTGGGGGGGCAAAGTAGAGGGGATTTTATGGATGATGGAATGTGTGAGAGTGTATGTGGGTGCTATATTGCCTGAGTTAGCGCTGGCTCAAATTAGTGTCCCTGTTCTGGCTTCAGTCACCTTAGTCCACCCTGTGCGTGGTGTTCCTAGCCCTCTACCCTAAATAGGAGAGAATGTCACCTGAACTCGTAGTAGGCCTACCTGAGCATCACGATGGCGTCTGAGAGTAAGCCAAGGCTGCCAAAGCTCCTCTATTTTCCTTGTTTTTACGTATGAATCAGAGGAAAGCACTTCAAATCTATAGTATTGGTATACTTGTTCTGCAAATTGTGTGTTAGATGGGCAGTAGATATTCTTCCAGTGGAGTGCCAGAAGATTCCTGGCTGCTAGTATGATTAGGGTGGCAATCTTCCTAGTTTCTGCCTTCCAAGTGTCTGGGAATATCAGTAGAAGCCCTTATAGACTGTATTTTTTTATTTTATTACAACTTGGCCATTTTACATGATCACTGTCATTACATGATATTACATGATTTAGTAACATCCACTGGATGTTGGGCAAGGTTAACATCACCAGGACGTACTTGGAAACCAGAGAATATCTGAATGGACCTTTCCTCGTTAAAAAAACGTTGTTATTGTTATTATTTATGTGCTCTCTATGCTTACTTGTTCATTATTCTCCGATTGCCTTCTGTACAAACAGTTCAGCTAGGTGATATGTTTTATCTGATTTTTTGTATCTGCTGCCGAGTATACTATTACCATCTTTTGGGACGTTTTTGTTTATCTTTACCTTGTCTGTTGCTTTCTCTACCTAGTTCCCACCTAGTCTGTACCAGTAGGTGCACTGCTCGCTACTAGGGACTCTTATGAGTAATATTCCAGAATATATCTCTATTGTACTTTGAGGACCTCAAACTATCATAATATTATTTACATGGTAGTGAATGAACCACATTAGAACATTATATGTTAGCAAACTGTGTAGAGCTTTTCACTATTGCAAGATATGCAGATATCATAGCATGCATAATTATAGGAATACACAAATATGACATTTTGGATAAAATAAATACAGTCTCCCCACTAGATATCTCTCATCCTTCAAACCACCCACATAATACCCAAACCAGCTCTCTACTACTGAAGACCACACTGACTACTTACAAATATATTTAATGTCCCCTCATTATCTTACATTTTGATTTAAGTGATTTTTTCTGCATGTTTCATTAATGGATATTTTGAAGCCATTGGCAAGCATTGAGGGGGCTGGTTAACAGTCAATTGCCAATGGAAATGCAGAGTTTGTGCTAAAATATGCAAAAATAAATAAATCAATTTAACTTACCTGGAAATTTCAATAAATCTTTAGGTTTCATCAGTGCCAGTTTGATCTTTTGAAAATTGCTAAGATAACACTCTCTACCATCACTTCTCACTGGTATCATTAATCATAAGTAATTGTTTTAAATGGTACTTAGCTAATGAGATTCATTCTACTGTTTGCTTTATGAAAATATAAAAGCTGATCTTCTTAAACTAGATTGTGGGATGTCTCTTCACTAACTATATTAGCATTTGTCAAGAATTCATTTCTGTTCTTAAAATTGCACAGAAAAGCACTCACCATCTGCAAACATTTGTCAGTGTACTTTGTTTGAAGTTTCTAGATCTTAGAAAGTAGTTTAAGTTTCTTGACCTTGTTAGTCCTGGATTAGATCTGAGTTTCGTGAGTAAACAAGAAAATATGACATAAAAACATTAGGTAAAATTTGTGACACTAGCCATAGCTTAGCTAACTCAGTAAAACCCTCAAAGCTTTGCTTACATTTCAGTAATATAGAGGAAGAGTTTATTATGGTATACGTTACCTGGCCCTATTTGCGTAATCCTTGCGGAAATTAAACAATTTGCTTATCTACACAGCTCACTTACATAAGACTGCCTCTAAAGTTAATGGGGAGAGACAAAATAGTTCTAGGTCATTTACAAACACTAACCTTTTGAATGCCACAAAGCAATGTTTTTGCCATGCACCACTGGTTCTCCAAGAGTTAAATTTCTTAAAGACGTCAGCAGCAGTAGAACCTCAATATGAGAAACATCTTAATATGGAATGCAGAGGGAAAAACTAAATATAGTGAGTTGATATCAAGGATGTGTAGCTAAAATAAGAACTACATATATTTAATATAGTTCTCACTAAAATAAGGTTTTTGTAATACAAACTATTCAAAAAAAAATGGGATGGGAACGAATGAAGAAAAATAAGGGACTAAAGGGTGGAGAGGGCATATGAAAAAGCAAAGATACGTTTAGCTCAGCCCAAAGGCATAACAAGTAAAATGATAGAAGACAAGGTAAATAACTCAAGGTTAAAAGGTCAAACTAGACCAATCTTGACTTGTGAACTGTGCTTTTTATGAACCTCCTTGCTCTTTTCAAGATCCAATTTAAATATCAACTTCTTGATTTACCTTGATTGCTTTTGTGGGGATTTCTAACGAAAATGTTATCATTGCATGCGTGACTATATACTAAGCACTGATCGAAGGGGTTGTCCATTTCCTTGTTGTGCGCTTGAAGAAATAGCATTTTGGCAAAAAAAAGATATAAGTAAAGCTTGATTTAAATATAGTTATAGTTTTTAAAAATGTTGATTTGTGTTGTGCATGTAATTGTTGATTTAAAAATTGATTAATTCTACAGGAAGCAAATGATTTACTGGAATCAGCTGAACATTTTAAAAGCAGTCCATCAAAGTCCTTGTTGTTTCGTTGGTGATAATGCATTAAGAATTTGCAAAACATATTTTCATGTTGAAATATAGGCAAGTATAGGCCAAAAAGATGACCGAAATCATAGTTGTATGAGATTCTACAAGGCAATGACAAGGATTGTTGGCTGTGAATGTTGGGAGTGTTAAGACTTCCACAGCTGAATGAAACATAGACAATACATTTCGATAAGTACTAATTTTGATTGAGGCAAGATGAAGATCTCATGAATATTACTGTGTGAAAAGGATAAGCAGACAGGAGAGAAATTCATCTTTGTTCTCGAAATTCAACCAATCCAAGAAATAATATTGTACTTAAAGGAACAGTATAGGGTCAGGAACTCAAACATGACCCTATAGTGTTAAAAACACTATTTATCCCCCCTGGCCTCCCCTTGCCACATTACCCCATTGCCCACTCAATATAGTAAAATCTTACATTTATTCCAGTCTGCTGGTGCTGGTTCTGTTCCCGATCTACCTCCTTTGCTGACATCATCTGAAGTGATGATCTCAGCAAATCGCAATGCTCCATAGGAAATTCTAATTATCTCAGTCAATGGGACAATAAATGGGGTGGAGTCAACTCTGGCCTGGCCAATCAGCATCTCCTCATAGAGATGCATTAAATTAATGCATCTCTATGAGGAAAGTTTAGTTTCTTCATCTGAGGAGTGGTCACTGGAAGTGTCCCTAGGCTGTAATGTAAACACTGCCATTTCTGAGAAAAGAGTGTTTACAGCAAAAAGCCTACAGCTACTTACTATACTCACCAGAACAACCACATTAAGCTGTAGTTGTTCTTGTGTCTAGTGTCCCTTTAAATACATAATTTGGAATAATAGATTTAGGTTAGCTCTGGTTCAAATTTAAAGCAATATTTTATTAAGTATATTAACTACAGACCAACTATTAATATCTATCTAGAGCAGTGGTTCCCTACATTTTTTCACTTGAGTACCCCTTGGCAGCCTATTTCCATAAATTGTACTCCTCATATTAGCATGTATTTACCACAAGGCAAACAAGGTATTTGCCTAGGGCAGCACTTTCAGGGGGGGAGCGCCAAAAAATGCCACCCTAAGCTCCCAGACAAATACCTTGTTTGCCTCATGTTCTGGGGCTGTCCACCTTACTGTGAGTGACTGTCAGTGTGTGTCTGTGAGTGAGAATGGGTGTGCCTGTGAGTGTGTGTCAGTGTGTGTGTGTGTGTGTATCTGAGAATGTGTGCCTGTCAGTGAGTGGGTGTGTCAGTGTGTGTCTGTCC